CCTTAAGAACCTTAGCGGTATCCTTCAAAAGAACCTTCCAATTCTCCATTCAAACAAACGAATGGCAGAGGTCTTTAAGGAACCCCCACTGGCTGCATACAGACGCCCAAGAAACCTAAAGGACATGGTAGTAAGAAATAGACTGGACAACCCATTACCTAACGGGGGCTTTAAAACTTGCTCTGACAGAAGATGTCTTCTTTGTAAGCACAGCACTGACACAGACAGATTTAGCAGCCCTGTTACAGGCCGCAGCTACAAAATACTAGGGAATTTGTCCTGTCAGACTGACAACTGGATTTATCTCATCAGTTGCAAAGTTTGCTCCAAACAGTATATTGGTGAAACAGGAGATCTCCGCAGGAGAGTTAATAACCACCGCTCGACCATTAGGACCAAAAAACTCAATGAACCCGTTGGGGAACATTTCAACCTTGAGGGTCACAAATGGGAGGACATGACAGTAGTGGTGATTGACCATAACCCAGGATGGACAGATGCTCAGAGAAAAAGCAAAGAGAAGTTCTGGATGCACAGATTGAAGTAATTCCGCCCTAATGGCATTAACAAACTAAATGACTTCACCAGAATGAACGTAAACTAGACCTAATTCCTGATGATACCATACAAGATTATTCTCTCAATTTAGTGTTAACTCTACTGTTAATTTGCGTCACAAACTCTCGGACAACCCACTAAAATATCTATTGTTTAAGCTTTTGATAAAATTTTTTTTTTCCCGGTAATAAATCCTTAAATTTATAATGGATCATAATTCATATGTTTAAATATCCCTGCTATATTATTTTTCTTTGATTATTCTTTATTAAGTAAAGTTATGCCATTTTGAGAGAATGAAACACTGTGCGATTCACTGATTATCGTAATTGATTAGCATAATTAATTCGTTCAATTATCACAAAACTATTTATTGTTTACGCTTTTGTTAATTTTTTTCCCGGTAATAAATCCTTAAATATTTCAAAATTTATAATGGATCATAATTCATATGTTTAAATATCTCTGCTATATTTTTTTTTCTTTGATTATTCTTTATTAAGTAAAGTTACGCCGTTGTGAGATAATGAAACAATGTACGATTTACTGATTATTGTAATTAATTAGCATAATTAATTCGTTCAATTATGTAAATCGCACTTCACCCGAGTATACCCGATAGACCGGAAGCATTTCACAGCGGTCCGGATTTCTTTCTTTATCAGTGTTCTTAATATTTCCAATTCAACATGTAATTATGTAAATATCTAGTGTTTAGTAGTTTCATCACATGCTACAACATCGAGCCGTTTACACTTGAAGAAAGAAGAAAACACGTGGTTGCTGGAGAAGCTTGGGAAAAACTAACAGCAGGTGTAGTAAGTCCATTTCAGGGTCTTAAGAAAGAGGAAATTATTACAGAATTGGAGAGCAGAGGAATATGGTTAAATGACGAAAGAAAGAGCACAGTTCAAGAAAAACTTTTCGAAACCTTACATGGTGTAGCAAGACCACCTACACGATGTTGCCTTAATTCAGTTAAAACCATGGCCGACTTGAACATTGATAAATATGAAGTACTCTCGTGTGAGCCTTTGCATGACCTCACGAATGTCATCCGAAATCTCATTGAAGAACTTCCCCATCATGTGGGCGAAAATACCAAACAGGAGTTCCTCTCCTTCAGTGAGACTACTATTGGAAATAAAATCCAGATAAAAGGGTCAGATGCTCGACTTTATGCTGTAAAACTGGCAAAATTTACTGATCAGAAATTTGAAGAAGGAAAACTTGACCAAAACATACCAGATCTGGTAAACTCTCTTGTGGATATTGTCACTATATGCTATTCAGACTATGCCATGCGGTCTCCAAAGCAACTTCTTCGTCTGTACAACCAATGCTTTTTACCGGTATTTGGCGTACACTGCAAAACAGTCATAGAGAATCCACTAAAGCTGACATCTAGAAAGTTCTATGGAAATCATTTGCATAGTATAACAGTACATGTCCCTGAAACAGCTCGGCTCTTTTGTCTGAAGTCAATTGTGCCAGAACAGGAAGAACGTTCTTTTGGAACTCTTCGAAGGATTTCTGAGAATACAACCAACAGACAACCCAAATTTGTTGTAGATAATGCAATGCTGAGAATTCAATTCCAAACCTCTCACGTTGATCCTACACAAACAATTATGAAACGACAGTCTGCAATCAGCAAACAGGCCAAATTACTCCCATCTCAAAAACGCACTTTACTACCTTCAACTTTGTTGAAAAAATTCCCTTTGTTGGTGCAAGGTCATTTACAAAGAATTCCCGATTTTCTTCTTCCGGGACAGGATATCTGGTGGTCTTTGGATGCAGCAGGCATGAACTTCCATGATGGTCCAGACGATGACAGTAGTAAACAGGAGGGACCTGAGCTTCATCACTTTCGGTCTTCGTCATTAAAACAGGAGAGACTCTGGACACAGCAAAAGTGGAAGGAATGTATTGAGCAGTATGCATCTGGAAAACTGCAGCTTCCCCTCCAAAGGCTGAAAACCTACAAAGATGGAAGAATAGCTTATATTTGTCCAAAACTAAAAGGTATCATTACTTATATCAACATTATGTTTGAAAAATTAAGAGGTCACAAACATAATTTATAACACAGAAATTAATTTATAGTTTTAATTAAAAAAAACATTCTGAAGACGTATTTTTTTTCAAAAGATCATACAGACCCTGAGACGTGCTACTACCCCACACGCTCGCTGCACGAACGGTACACGAACGCTACACGGTTTGCACGAAACGCTGCACGGTGTACACGAAACGCTACACGGTTTGCACGAAACGCTACAGGGTTTACACAAAACGCTTTGCACGAAAGGCTGCACGGTTTACACGAAAGGCTGCACGAAACGCTTTGTACACGTTTCTCACACGCTTTGTACACGATTCTCGCACGGTTTGGCCTCGGTTTGGATTTTCTACTCGGAATATCTCGGGCATTTTAACCTCTTAATCATTACTTCAATGAAAATTGCTCAAAAACCACATTAAGCAGCTGTTTAAATTCAATTTAGTACACTTGTATCATAAAAAACCGATAGAAATATTCAATACTCTGACAGTTGTAATTAATTGATAAATAATTGTCAGTTCGAATTTATTTATTTATTTATCCAACTGTTTAAAAACGAAATGCCGATATCGTAAATGACAGTTTAATAAAATACAATTTTCATAAACAGGTATTAATCATTCATTTCAATGTAATATTTTAACGAATATAATTTGATAAATTGATTTAATAAGTTGAACACTAATTCGATTTCTCACCGCAGGAATATAAACTCATTGATTTTTAATAATATTGATTATATTGCATGTGTTTGATTTACGTATGCGGATTATTATTTTTTTATTTTGATTTTAAATTATAAATTAAATTTGCCTATATACTCTACTAACGATTAATGAAACATTTTAAAAGATTTTTTTTAAGCAAGCATTATCAATAGGAGGGAAACCGGTAAAGGGAAGGGCGTAAAGGGGGGAGGTTAATGTGATATATTAATCTATTCTATTCTCTTTCTCTTTTTACATGAAACTTATCAAATTACATCAGTATACCCATCATACTGTAAAATCCTTCATTTCAAAACAAGACTAAAAGTATGTTTGTATGTGTACATTTTTTAATAGTCGCGGCATTTGACCATACATTGTACATACAATATAGATCGATCTTTATATCGGCATTCAGCTGTATTACAGGAAAACTGAAATATCTTAGATGAAATAAAAAGTGCGTGATTTATTAAACAAATAATACACATTTATTCATGATTTACTCCTGAACTTTTCTTACATGATATTCATATAAAGACTACCATATCAGTTCTGTTTGTTTTACTGTTTACGGCTAGAAATTCTGATTTACAAATAAAAGATGAGATCCGCTGATTTATAAGTTGTACCCATCAAATAGTTATAGAACCCTTTTATTTAAAAAAAAAATCCAGTCGTAATTTCCAGGTGTCATTTAGCCGTGAACTCAACGTGTACATATAGCAAAACAGGTTTTCATTTGCAATGCCCCCGGCGCCCGTAATCGCTGTTGTAAATGACCTTGATCACAGTTGAAAGGCGGAAAGAAGATTCCAATACATTTATAAGGGGTGTATCTGTGCATACATTTAACAACGAATTTAAACAAGAATAGAAAATAAAGCATTTAATTAAACTAACATTAGATTGAAAGCTACAACAAAAAATTAAAGACTGAACTGTCTAGTAATTTAATTTAACACACCCCCCCCCTCCCCTCGTTTATAAAGATATGGTCGTCAGTGCACATGAATTAAAATTATAAAATCCATTTTTGACAATAATGAGCAACAAGTTTTATGTATTTAAAGATATCAAATGACACATCGTTTCAAATGTAAAGACAAGAACAGAGTCCTGATATATTTTTGATTTAATTTAAAAGAAAAAGATTATTACCGGTATATCTTTTCTTTGAGATCAAACAAATATAAATCATACATTACCGTTTAATTTAATTTTGTTGTTCCATTTTTTTTTATTTTTACTCCTATAATATCACAAGCATAACTAATTCAATTATAAAATACTAATAGAATTTTACATCCTGGCCCATCGATAGCCATATTTAAAATGAAATGACTTCCGAATGAATCTTACACGATTCTTGCACGAAAGTCGCACGTTTATCACACGGTTCTTACACGAAAGTCGCACGTTTCTCACACGCTTTTCGCACGCTAGCTACACGGTTTGCACGAAACGCTTTGGAGCTTACACGAAACGCTGCACGGTTTACACGAAACGCTACACGGTTTGCACGAAACGCTGCACGGTTTACACGAAACGCTACACGGTTTGCACGAAACGGAAAGCGCACGAAACCCACACGCTTTTTTGGGGTAGTAGCACGTCTCAGGGTCTGTAATTGTGTGAAATGACTGAAATCTCTTTAGTCTGCGGGTAGAAAATTATATCAATTTCTTGAACTCTCACTACTAGTATATTTTGAGTATGCTTCGACAAATTTCTGTGGTGATTTGGAGACTGCCTAAATAAATACCTAGTAGAAAAATGAAGTACTTCTACAATATTCAGTCATTACAAGCAAACCTCATATTGATGCACTTTGCATCTTACATATACATCACTTTCTCTTAGCAGACGGAGAAGACTGCCAGAGGGAAGAGGAATTCGACACATCCCAAAATGATGAAGTTCCATCCCAACAGCCAGACGGTGCGTGTCTGAAAACATAATAGATCAAATAAATTTCGGTCATTAAAATAAATCTTGTATAAAAACATTTTTTTTTATATAATGTACAGGCTCAGATGTGGAAACTTCCAAATTCACTGAAAATCAGGATAATGGTATGTAAATAAATGAATTATTATACAATTATGGATATTCGGTGTAGGTCAATATGTGGTTATAAGGACTCATGGCAATTGATATTGAACGAAGACACAGAAAGTGATGGCAACCAAGACTGCGAGGTCTCTACGCAGCACTGTTAAGGCCTACTATGAGAAATCAACGGAAAATGTAGGTGCAAAAAGGGGGATATCATTTTAAATTAAATTTATTTCAATTAAGCTTTTTTATTATCACAGAACGTTAATACCTATAGAAATAGCATAGTATTACCCACTCTGTACTGTATGAAGTTTAGTCCCATCGATGGACAGTCAAGTGATGAATGCATAGTACGTGTACTGAATGTAGGTCATTAACAAATTTCCATATCGCAAGGGCATACCCTAGTTGAAATTAAAAATTCAAACTATTAATTGTTTCTGCATACTTTGTAGTTTCTGAAAAGTGCTGCTGCTTTGAATAGAATTCGCGTTTTAATAGTTAAATTTTCAAGTAAATAGGCCAATGTCAAAAAATATTAGACTTTTACCAAATATTTTGTGTACTTATGAAATCACGCCTTCGATTTAAAGAAAGCAGCAGCACTTTTCCAGTTAAGGATAATATCCTTTATCTATATTCAAAAAATGATTAAGATCTATGCAGTGTATGCCCTTGCGAAAGTACGATTTTATGGTGCATCTCGATGTAAAATATACGTAACCTGTACATAAAAACACGACATAATTAATAAAATACATTCTCTTGATAGTAAATGAATTATCACACTAAACAAAAGACATACATTGGTATTAATCGACTATTCAAAACCTGAAAATAATATTCCGTTTAATAATAAAACGCATTTTTCATTGTTAAAAAATTCCTCAATCTGCCTCTCACAGTACATGAAATACGTCATGTTTACCAAAATGACGTCATATATACAAGTTCATCGCAATCAGTGCTTTGTTTAAAACCAGCTACACGGGATTTACCTAGCAACTTTTTTTAAAGCATTGATAGGTTTTATTGTTGTTTATTATGCTAATACAGTTAAAAGTTGCAAATAATTTCATTTTCAGGTATTATGAGAAATACATAAAAGTCATATTTTTGTGTGACGTCACAGTTAACTTTTCCCGTATAAATTAGGCCCCGCCCCCTAATTCAAGCCTTAACAATGCTGCGTATCATGGTCCGTGTCTTCAATCAATATCACCGGCCATGAGTCCTTATAACCACATATTGACCCTTCAGTGAAGTCCATAATAGTTATATTTATACTCACTCAAAGTTAGTGCACTGACACGAGTCAGTTCTAACTATTAAACAGATTTGGCTGTCATTACATCACACAAGTCTCAATAGTTTAAAACATGATTTATATATTATGACGTCATGTTCAATGTAACTTCAGTGCAACCGAACAATGTGTTGTACAATATTATTTTCTGCCAATGTACTTTCTCGATGATATCACAAAAGGAGGAATATCACATGAAGTCCTTTCAGCCAATGAAAATTACAAAAATAATCTTATATAATATTTTCCAGTATTTCTCAGTGTGATAAACAGATAAAAAAAACTGAAATATTCTACAACTTACCTTCTCATAGGAAATGGAGAAAATGGCCAGAAGCAGGATGAGGAGGACAATAATGGTGATGATGTGCAATCTCTGCTGCCAAATGATGGTACGTGTCTAAAAAAAAATGTACTATGTCATGTAAAAATTCTGACATGATGAAAAAAACATTTCATAACCTCTGTACACTTTTTCTGTACAGATTCAGATGGGAATTAAATATTTTCCAAATTTCTTTCATTGTGATATTTAGATACAAAATTTCAATATTTTTCATAAATCTTAAATTGAAATATTCTACAACTTACCTTCTCATAGGAAATGGAGAAAATGGCCAGAAGCAGGAAGAGGAGGACAATAATGTTGATGATGTTCAATTTCTGCTGCCAAATGCTGGTACGTGTCTAAAAAAAATGTACTATGTCATGTAAAAATCCTGACATGGATCAAAAAAGAGATTTATAGTCATTGTACACTTTTCTGTACAGATTCAGATGGGACAACTTTCAAATCAACTACAAACGAGAATTTCTGTAGGAGATTGCATGTCTACTCTTTCAAAAAAAAAATTGAGATAATTTATAAAAATTTCTTTTAAATGTTAGAAGCAAAGAAAAGATGCAAAGCAACAGTGAATCAACAATTCAATCCTGATCTTCTGAAGGGTGGGTATTTTAATACCAATTTGCTGCACTAATGCTTGAGGCCATCAATTGCGCATTAACAGATGTGAAAGTATGTTTTAATTGATAGAAAAACATGTTTTAAACTAGGGATTTCAACGAATATTCGCGTATACTCCACAATCATTTGATGATACCAACTATCGATAAAAATTTCTTTAGTCGGTTATTCGTTAAAAATGTGTTTTTTCAAAGTAATTTCGATTTCAAGGCAATAATCGTGTATTTGCCCATTTCATTTATTTACATATTTTTTTTAAAAAATAGAAACTGTTATCAAGGTTATGTGAAACAGAACTTGTATTCTGCGGTGTAACATTAAACACGATGTATCATACGCCGAATCAGTCAAACATGTACAGTCTTTAAGTGAAATTTTCCTCAAGCAAGTTCTAAGCGAAAAATGCCAAAAAAAAAAGCAGATTAGGAAAGAAAATCAAGCATGTGTATCGATGATTGTCTAACTCTTACTGTTTTAAATGGAGAAGGCGATTGTTTTGTTTTGTAGATTCAAACTAAGTTCTGATATGATACAACTATTCAGAAAGAATATTAATTAAACAGCTACATGTAATACAAAATTGTAAATACAGTATTAGGCGGAATATTAGAATGGAAATAACAATTTTCTCACTTGGTATTTGAGACTGTTTATGCGGACTTAAAATGATCGCAAACACAAATTTGGACTCTTAAACCAGCAATAACAGTCATAAATACCAAAAAAGAAGATAGCAAATCTTAAACTTATTAAAACCTGTACCTTTTACCAATACAGTCCTTACCTAAATTCAACAGGTAATAGAGACTTCAAGAAATCACTGGTCAGCACCAGGATGAGGAAGGGCTAAGTGGTCATCAGGCACCAGAAGGTTGTATTTGTAGTATTGGGAAGAAGATGCTGGATATTGACCACCAGTTGATGTCAAGTGTCTACAATAAAAGGATATTTAAAATTTTGTTTTCACAATTAAGGGAAATCAATTTGTTTGCTGTAGTATAAGTATAGAATCCCACATGATGTGTAGTTGGATATTATTTTTTATCCAATGAGTTGTATGCACCCCCCTCCCCCCCCCCCCCCCCCCCAAGCCTTAGCAAGGCTCATATCATCTGGATAAAAGGTTCAATATGGGATTAAGTCCAATACTTCCATTTCTTAATGAGCTTTCATTGTGTTATTTTTCCCTCTTTAGCAATTGACATATATCTCCATTGTGCACTAGGAAATCATAAATATAATTGCAAATAAGTAGTGATTTCAATTAACATGATTAATAGTCAATGTTTCCATTGTTACCTCACTGTCAATATACAATTACCTTCACTTAATCAATCAAAGGATACCAATCAGCCAAAGAAGAGAACCATTACATTGGTACTTTTACATATATCTAAAACAGAAACAGACATATTATTATTATGATTATTTAGATGATACCTAACATTCAGCTTAAGTATTTTTTATTGTCAAAATGAATTGGAAATCATTGTATTTCATAAATTAATTCCCTTTATTTCATATTTTTAGCATTAATCAGTTCCAAACGAAAAAGATTTTGCGAGGAAAATTTACATACAGGTACGTAAGCAAGGTGGAAAAATCTGCATTTATACATTTTTTAGGATTATGGAATTTAAAATTTTAAAGACTTGGTTTTTAAAAAAAATCACTTAATTTAAAGGTCACAATGACCTTAAAATAGGTCATGACATCCTTCTATCCAAGATGGATAAATTGTCCAAGTTTGATGATTGTAAGTCTAATAATTTTCTAGTTATGAGCCAAACAAAATCACAAAATAAAAAAGAAAAAACACCTGTAGAATGCAGAAAAATCATCCAATCATGATAAAAATACCAGGTGCACACCTTCATATTGTGTATAATAAGTGTATAAATTTTCAGACAAATCCACCCAACAGTTTCTAAAAACGGTCCGGACAAAATCTTGTCTACAGACAGACGGACGGACAGACATGGTGATTCCAAAATCCCCCTCTAAACTTCGTTTGCGGGGGTAAAATAAATGGAATGCCTTAGTTTAATACATGTAATAGACTTTGAACTGGTTGAAAAAAAAACCCACAAAATTATTCTTCCCTTGCACTTGGCTATGATATCTGTCATGTAAGAATATATCAATGACGTGATGACTATGAACATGCATTATTAATAGATTCTGAACGAAAGAAATGCAGAAAACAACTTTTTAAGACCAGCGAGAGGGAAAAAAATGTTGATCAGAGCAGTCGTATAGGTCAGTTTTTCTTCTCCATATTAAGCATTTAAATACCTTTTAAAACTTTCATTCTTCGTGCCATTTGAAAGTCTCATGGTTCATTTCATTTAATTTCAGCCAAGAGGTATGGAACTGATGACTTGGTCCAAATGTTGTTTGGAAAATGTAAAGAGGTGGAGGAATATCTAAAATATAAACGTTTAACAGCTGTTGACAGACCATTCAGCCAACAATATAAGACATCTCTTGCTAGAGTACAAACTAAAGTCAGTAAACTCCACAGAAAGTTATAGAATTCTCAGCAAGAAAATGATAAAAAGCATATCCAGACTGCTAAATTGCTGTTAAAACACTGGGGCATTTATGTTTTTTAAAGTTTTAGATTCTGATAAAATCCAATGTGAAATGCATATTAAGTGGTGATATTACTTGTACTTTTAAGTAATTTCACAAATAGAGGAATTTCAATATAAATTTGATTATTCCTATGATAGATATTTTTCAAAGGGGTTTTCATAAAAAATCATTATCAAAGTAATGAGTAAATGATACATGTAATCAACATCAATCATTGTCCTTTACAATTTGTGCTTTGTGTAGGATATTTGAAAAGAATTTGAAAAGAATAAATTATTGGGAATGGCTGCAACCCAAAATATTTAGAAAGGGTAAGTGGGGGGTATGTCCAAGGACCCCACTTGTAAAATTCCCAATCTATAATTATATTGCATACATGTGTAATGCTTTTGTTTCTATAATCTATCCCCCAATTTGATTCATTCATTTCTAGACCATTAAGGCATTATTAAGATGTTTTGATTGATCATGTTCATATACTCGAACAGAAGTATTACTTTTTTTTGAAAGGTGCATACATTGAAAATTATGGATTCCAACATTTATTTCTCCATGATTCTGATATATTACCTCATCAATGTAGTTTAAATGTTTGTAAGATGTAATAAATAAATAAATAACGTCTTATAATTCTTTGTATGTTCTTTTGTGAAAAGTTGGAAATTGCATAACATATCATAGGATTTTCTGGGGACACATAAGCATGTAGAGAGTATGATGAATGTGGGTGAACATATACTGCAACAAAAAAATGAATTACAAGGGCTAGGCAATAGGTAGAATGACATCCCGGTCGAACGACACCTAAGCCCGTGGCAACCAAAACATCGTCCCAGGCAAAATTTTGTTAGAAAAATTAAACTATGGTCTGAATTGACATTATTATTTAATTAATTAATTCGTCTTTCTAACAATATATAAACAATTTTCATTCTAAAATTCAAACTGTGAAGGGGTGAGGGGCCTATCACATCATTTTTTAAATATCTCTCTTTTGGAAATGCACAGTATAAATGGTGAGTAAATATAAATATTTACATTTGCAACTGTTTTCCTTTATATAACACTATACTGAAAAAGAATGCGTATCTATAACTGTATAAATACATGTACGGGGTCAAGAGGTCAGAGATGTGCGTTTGGATAATCGTTTGACGTAATTTCTCAGTGACGTCATAAAGGGTTGAGGCGCGATGAGTAGATTACATACTTGCCGTTGAGTTTAAAAAATGATGCATTTCTCACCCTAAAAGTCAAAATCAGGCAAATATAAAGTATGAATAAGTCACAAATGTAAATATAAGTAATAAGGTATCATTTTAAAACATTTATCGGGCTTTAAATACGGGTTGGTAAGAGATTAAATTCAACAAAAAGCCCTTTTGGTTTTATGGAATTTGATCTCGTGACCAACCCGTATTTATATCCCGATAGATGTTTAAAAATCCAAAAAAAAAACATGTTGTCTAGTAAGGCCATCATAAATAAATTGCTAGATTCTCATCTGAACTTTTTTTAAAAGTCGAGGCAGGTTGGCAGCTTTATTCTAAATATATATATAAATATATTTTCTCAGTTTTGCATATTTTTTATTGACCTGTTTAGTCAGTGTTATTTTATCTACAATACTCGAATAAAAGTCATAGTAAAGAACTTTAAAGGTTCAATTATCCCTTACTTCACATCATCACCAATCTTTTTCAACCCATGACCTTAATGACCCTTGTTTAAAATATATAAACATGTATTATAGGAATTACCATCTTTTCAGCTGTCAAAATGATGTCCACTTTCACAGGATTTAAAACCAAAGTAGAATGGTAGATGAATACCGATCCCGATTAGAATTAAGACAAAGAAAAACAGAAATAAAAAAAATGAGGCGGGGGTATAAAATTGGGGTGGGCAGGGATGAGAATTAAGGAATATTTTTATTATGGTCTTATGGAATCTATCGGACTGTCACCCTGATGAAATTTTGGAGATCACTGGCATACAATAGTTCGGTGTCCAGTCAACTCGTACACAAATGATGATGTACACAAACCAGTCGTACAAAAAAGTCAACTCATATACAAACCAGAAGTCAACTCGTACACAAAACTTTTGTCATTCCTACATAGGTTTTCATATAGTGTCAAGTCAACACATACACAAAGATTTTTCTTGTACATTTCAATCTATTTTATAAATGCTTCTGATTTTAATTGATTTGCCCATAATTAAATTTGATGTGTCAATGTAGATAAAATGTTCTATCGGTACCGAGGCACAGTTAGATTATTCTAGATTGTGAAACATTTTAAAAATTGCCTTCTTTCACAATGTTCATGCAAATAATATATTATGTACTATTCATGTAGATTTGAATATAATCAGATGCATAAATATTTTGTTTATTATTATATCTACTGTAGAAAGTTAGAAATTTTAGGACTCCGTAACATATGTATATAGTTGTATATAGTGTAGATTGTAAATATGATCGAGATACCTAACAACGTAATATTTTAATGGAATATCGCATTTATAATTGCATGAAATTTCCAAAACAAACCTTATCAAATTGAAATAAAAAGATACCGCGCTTGTGTTGGTTTAACAATAATTGTTTGAATTCCTGACCATGCTCAACAATTCTGCTTAGAATTTCATATTTTATTTAATAATAATCAGCTCTACTTAGGATATTGCTTTTTGCTTTTTGCAAAATACTTTTTTATGTTGAAATGGTTAAACTGTTTAGGTTTTTTCTTTCAGTTCATTATTTCTTTCATCATGATCATGGTAACATAAAAACAGTATACCCCCCCCCCCCCCGAAAAAAAATGAATATAAACTATCCAGATTTGTTACAGCATCTCATGGGCATGGCATTTTATGTGCAGATCAATATATATTACTTAAAAATGATTAATTCTATTAATCCTGAAGTCAGTACTAGTGCAACAAAAAATATAAGACCACATGACCAAAGCCACATGGTTTACTCCGCAACTTTGTAAAAGCTATTTGTCTTCTCCTGATCTGCTCAAAACACCTAAAAGAGAAAAATAAAGCTTAAATCATATCAACTTACTATTAACTTTTCCTTTCGTCACCCCGAACGGCATTTCTGCTTCGTTTTCTGTCCTCTCTCCTCACGCACCTGCCCGTTGGAAAATCATCGATGTCTAGACTGACAAGAGTGTTGGCGACACGGATTGGTAAATATGAGGGATTGAGCACGCGCGAGAATATAATTGAAAACAAGCAAAAGAAGCATATTTTAAACATATAAGGAGGAAAACATAATGCATATGTCTTATCTTTCAAAAAAATATAAATAGCAAACCTTTAATTTGAAACATATTGGCGATTTGACGTTCGTTCAATGGAAAGTGCAAGAGCAGAAGTAAGTCATTATGACGTCACAGATAGAGAAAAGATTTCGCGGAATTTTTTCCTGATCAAATATCTCTGGGAAACCTTAACTATACTGCGGAACTCAAGTGTTGCCCGTATCGAATTAAGATAAATAAAGCCCTTAATTACATTCGAATAAATTATTATTCCCCATCTCACAGAAAATATTGATTAAAATATTGCAGAATTACCGAGTAATTGCATATATTTATATTAAATAACAGACTTCATGCCTCCTTCCTGACCGTAATAAAAGAATTTATGTAGCCGCAAGACTTTGCTATCTAAAAACAAGAAGTTTTATTAAACTGGAATTTTTATAACATACACCTTTGATTAGTATCTGTACAATATGAAAAAAAAGAAACCTCTAAGACATAAAAGAGTAAGTACTTGTTTGAATCATGTCCCCGGGGGTACATGTAGGGCAGAGCCACAGGTAGTGTATATTCAGGTTTCTTCAAATCATGACCCCTGGGGGTAGGGCGGGTCCACAATGGCCGACCAAAGTTTTATATAGAAATATATATAGGAAAAAATCTTCTTCTCAAGAGTAGCAAAGCCATAATTAATCGTATCTATATGGATGAATCCTCAGGTAGTGTAGATTTAAGTTTCTTCAAATCAAGACCCACGGGGGTAGGGCGGGGCAAAACTTTTGAAAATAAACTTTTCAATAGTAAACCAATTTCTACGTTTTCCTAGCCACAATGCTCGGATGAGCGAGTTGGCCCATGGGCCTTTTGTTTTAAAATCCAAGAGGCATAAATCTGTCAGTAATTGTTTGAAAAAATCAAAGTATTGAAAGCACTCATGGGAGTTGAACACGGTGTAAATAAAATCTTTGATCGGGAGGTTAAGTGAGTGAACAATATTTCATGTATAAATTATTATTATGTCTGTATTTTCAAATACAGACAACTGTTTCAAATTTTTGAATTGGAACAATCTCTATCGAGAAAGACATTCAGAGACATTGAATAGCAAAAAAATGCATGGGCCATAATGCTTGCCTACCTACATTAGTCCTTTTTCATACCCCCTGCTTGAAAAGCGGTAGGGAATTTATGAATCATGATATCTGTCCATCTGTTTGTTACACTTTAGGTATACCCATCTCTTATCCACAACTCCTGTAACACCACTGAACAAACTTTTCATAGAATCTTTATTACATATTGCCGTTGTGCTTCTATTACTTTTTCATCCTACACATATTTTGGGTTTCCCATTGCAAAACATGCACACTGCCATTATATTCATATTTAGAGGCGGTTGATTATTTATATCACTGCTCACAGTCTTCAAATTTGTATTATTTTTTTCCTTTACACCTTTACTCATGTGTTATGAAAATTTCAGTTTCGCAGGAATAATATCAATGTTGATAAAATGTGTATTTTAACACAGCTTCCTTTTAAGAG